CGTCTGTAATATATGATGCCCATTCCAGTTTCAGTAACTTTTCCTGGTATGATCTCTTAACATTTCTGCCAAGGATAAAGTTTGAGTTTTCTTCTACACTAATTTTTCCACTTCTGCCCACTCCCATGTTTTCAGGAGACCCTTGCATCCTATCCCATTCTGATTGATGTTCACCGTATCTCATTTGTAGCCTGAGTTTTGTTTCTTTGAAAACTGTTTTTTATCAGTAATGGTCAGGCTAACTTGAAGCTGGTTTTGTAATGTTCATGAAGGGAACTACTGTTTCCTCAACAAGACGCAAACCACTCATTACATTTTGAAAACTTCAAATGGGGGTACGGGAAACTCCCCATTTCTGTGCATTCAAGGCATGCACAACTGCACATGCTCGAATCACCGTGAATCCAGAAGTGGCACCCAAAGGGGACAAAACAGCCCTAAAAGAGCACAAAACACCATTGAATAAGCCTGCAAACACTGCAAAACAGCAAAAATGGTGCAAAAACAGCGTCTAGCAATCCCATGAGCCTTTGCAAGTGCAATCCTAGGAGCTCTTGCACTGAAATTTGAGGCCTGTGGAGAGTTGGACTTTTGAGCAAGGAGGTTTGGAGGGAGCGATTGTGGTGTTTGCAGGTTTATTCAATGGTGTTCCCAATATACACCATTTCACTTAAACACACAGTGCCTCAGAACATAATCCCCACATAAATGGGGAGTTGCCTGTATATTTATTTGACAACTGGTGATCCAGATCATAGGATCACTTTAGATACATTTGTGAAGCTGGGCCTATACTCTCCCTGCTGTTCTCTTCCTGATGGGTGGTTTTTCATACGATTTCACTGCTTATCTTTATATCTTTCAAGAGTGACAGCAGACTTACGTAACTTAAGCTCATGATTAGTGAAATGAGGGACTGAGAAGATCTATATGCACATATTGCGTTGGAAATGTGTGTGGAGGTCTGTCAGGCTCCTTGACTGTATCTGGGGCAGCTGCTATCCACTGCTAGTGGTGCCAACTATAATTGCATTGTCAGGGTGCAATAGATGTAATGCACCTGCCTGGCTTGGTGTTGCAGAATGTAAGGCTCCGTGTACCCTCTGGAGGTCGTCTACCAAGATATGTGCTGCTAGATGACATCTGAGAAGGAAATAAAGTCCGTTTCAATATTGATACACAGCTAAGGTTGCCAGTGCGCAGCCCATGCTGAAACTGCTACAGTTCGTAGATGGTGGGCATACTTCAGAAAAAGCTTTCCTTTCCTAAGATTTATTTATAATAGTGTCTGGGATCTTTCATGCTGAACCGTGTTTGGAGATGAATATAAGATGTACCTACTCCCAAGTGAAGCCCTTTGCCAGAGAGTGGTTAAGTTTCAAAGAACAACACCGGGCCTGTTGTATTCAGGAGCTGAAGCAGGAGAACTGGCAGAGGGTTGACAGCCCTGACCAATCAAGCAGGTAGAAAACAAATTATACAGAAGGCAGGGTCTTAGTCTTACTGCAGTGCTAGCAACCTCCTTGGGGTACTGTGGAGAAAAGCTCAGAGCTCCTCTGTGTCTTTCTGAGCATGTGTATGAATGGACTGAAAACACGATGTGCCTCTTATTTATATTGGGAACCAGCAGTGGCTGGTGCACACTGGAACTGGTAGGGCGGAACCCTTATGTCCCCCATTTGTATTGTGTACCAAGGATTTTAAGGAATGTAGTTCTATTAGTGAGGAAAGAGCTGATTCCCCAGATGCTGAATCTGGTGATTTCCTTATCTGTGTTACTGGACAGATTAGGTATGTAACTCTGAAGTAGTAGTAGTAGTAGTAGTAGTAGTAGTAGTAGTAGTGAGAAAGCGTAGTTGTTTATCTGTTTGACATCTGCTGAAAGGCATTTCACACAGGTTGGGTGCCACTACCGAAAAGGCCCTCTTCCTGGTTCCCTGTAACTTCACTTCTCACAGTGAGGGAACCACCAGAAGACCCTCAGAGCTGGACCTCCACATCTGGGCTGAATGATGGGAGTGGATATGCTCTTTCAGGTAGTGCAAGTAGATAAATAGGTACTGCTGAGGTGGGAAGGTAACCGGCATTTCCGTCCCATTGTGCCAGAAGCGGTTTAGTCCTGCTGGCCACATGGCCTGGAAAGCTGTCTGTGGACAAACACTGGCTCCCTCGGCCTGAAGCAAGATGAGTGCCACACCCCATAGTTGCCTTTGACTGGACTTAACTGTCTAGGGGTCCTTTACCTTTACCTTTACCTTTACAGGGTATATTATCAGTTCTGCATCAATACAGATGTTTCAGATCCTTGTGCCTGTTCATGAATGAGCTTGTTCACCTGTGCTATATAGTTTTATTGGAGGCTACCCATAGGTTGGACTGTGATATTTCTTTGAAGTGATGCATGATGGTGTTGAACAGTAGGCTGTGAGGCATTTTCTGAACTGAATTAGCCAGCCTGAATTAGCCTGTGACTTGATGCGTTTAAGTCCCCACCAGAGCTTCATTTCCTAGGGATGCCCCTCTTGGGCATCTGTTGACAGAACTTCACTTCAGCCACTTTGCATAAAGAGGTATCATGATTTATTAATCAATTAATCACAGCATGCTGAGTAGCTGTTCACGGTATTTAAACAGTGAAAATAAAAATGGTTTAGCATATAATAAAGATGTAGTGTAATTAATACAGCCTCCCAACAGTGAATCCTCCTTTCCCCTTCCTTCCTAAGACCCGCTGCACATTTTCCTCCCAGCAAACAAACATTAGCATTGTGGAATCTGTTTGCTTTGGGTGTTGGTTCAGGGTCCTGTCTCTTCTTTCCTCTAAGAAAATCATATTTATCAAAAATATAGAGGTTTCCTGGGAGAACTACAGGAAGTGACCACCACTGTTATTCAGAAGTTTCCAGGAGCATCTTTCTGGTTGCTGTTGAAAACACAATACTGTTACTGGATTGGTTGTGGTCTCATTCAACAAACAAGTTGATATTCTTAAAAGACAAACATTTTCTTAAGTGTCTTAAAGCAACAGCCAAAAGGCATAAGCTCTTCTTGAGATGGTGTAGAGATACTTAGCTTTCATGGAAATGTGATAGCAGCCTTTCCTAACCTGGTGCCTTCTGCATTTTTTGGACTAAAACACCCATCAGCCCCAGCCAGCGCTTGACTATGGTTTGTTTGAAACAAGCCAATTTCAAACTATGTTTGGTGAAGCTGACTTCTTTCAATAAACCATCATTAAGATGAGCCACATACTAGCTCCATCACTGCCTCTAGGAGTCTTCAGAACCTCAGCAGGTCTTTTGTACTCATAGCTCTTCATGGTGGAGAACATACTCAAAGCGTTCCATTTCCCACTTTCATCATAGGACTCCACTCTGTTTTGTTTTATATGCACAGAGTTCTCTGCTGAGGCAGCCCAAATTCTTCTGGTAGCTCTCCTCCTTTCCTTCCATCTTCTCGTGTTGTAGATCTCTCTCTCCTTGGTCACTAAACCATTATGACCTCTTGTCTGCACTTCTCCTCAGTTGCTCCTGCCCACCCCCTCCGTCTCCTGCCTGCTGAGACCCAGAGAGAATGCTCTTAGATGCTGCAAACACTTTAGCTTTCAACCCTCAACTGTTTTGTCAGCTTAGCTGCTGAGTCAAGCAGAGAATGCAAGCATTTGTCAGAACCCTTTCACATCACAGTTTAGGGTTTTGGTGTAATGCTAAACTGTGGTTTTCTGACTCCAGAAACCTAAGCTTCTGCTCTCCTCACTGACAAGATGGAGGAGGGACGGTGTGGGAAGAAGCATGTGAGCCCAAGGTTCACCTAGTCTCATTGTTATCACACTAAACTATGGGTAAGCATGATGTCAGAATGCAGCCTTTGTCTCACTATATCATGTCTTGATTTGTACTTGTGCTGTTTGTCACATATTAATCTGGTAGAGTTAATTGTGTGTGCAGGACCCTGTGTGATGGGGTTCATTATGTGAAGTACACAAGGTTTCATGTATGCAAAATCCTACTGTAGAGCAGAGTGGACTAGATATTTTGAAAGCTAAGATTTGGGTCTCTTTTAGGATGGTCACTCACATAGCTTCCAAAAAGAAAAATGGGCCATGAGATGGAAGCCAGTTTTTTGTTTGTTTTTTGGCTAGTCTGGCTAGGCTGCCCTATCCAAGGGCTAACTTGATTATCTAGTGTTACCAGCAATACAGTGGTACCATTCGTTCTGGAGGTCCGTTCTGAAACTTTTCTTAACCTGAGGTACCACTTTAGCTAATGGGGCCTCCTGCTGCTGCCGTGCTGCCGCCTCTCAATTTCTGTTCTTATCCTGAAGCAAAGTTCTTAACCCGAGGTACTATTTCTGGGTTAGTGGAGTCTGTAACCCAAGGTACCACTGTACTTGATTATTTTGGTGGTAGAAAATGGATTTCTTAAAAAGGTAAATAATGGATAATTTGATTGATTGATTGATTGATTGATATACTACCCTTCTTTCTGAAGAAGCCCATTAAGTTTGCACTATATTATGAAATTCAGTATTAAAAGACTCTTAATGGGCAGCATTGTATGCTTGGTTTGATCAGTGGACACAACTAATGAACGAAGTACCTCTCCAGTTGTTGTTAGAAGCCAGCCAACTTGACCAATGGTTAGGGATGATATGAACTGAAGCCCAATAACATCTGCAGGACCTCCGGTTCCCAATCCCTGCTCAGAATAAAAAATTTCTTTTGTGTGTGAAGTAATCTTATGGGTAATTTTAGCGCAGTTTGAAAATGCAAATGGGAAAGATCTTCATGAGTCAACTCCCAAATGAACGTCTCAGTGGTATTCAAAAATACGACTGCTAATTAAGATCCGGCAGAAGCATGGGGATTTTTATATCCTAATTCTTTTTCACTTGTTAATAAAATGAATTAATAACAACCAGTGGTAGAATTTGGATTTAATTTTTTCCCTATCATCCAATTTTAATTGTCTACTTCTCTCCTCATTCTCTCTTATTGTTAGGACCCGGCTTTCTCTTCTGCGATTCACGACAAGCTGCAGGTGCCCAATACCACCCGGAAGGCATGGAACGAAAGAGACAACCGGTGCGACGTGTGTGCCACTCACTTGAACCAGCTGAAGCAGGAAGCGATTCAGATGGTGCTCACCCTCGAACAGGCTGCCAACACTGAACATTGTGATGCTTCTCCTGGCTCCCCTCCTCCTCTCCCCAACATCCCCACCTTGGTGGGCTCGCGACATATGGGCAGCCTGCAGCCCAGGGACTGGGCCTACATGTCTGCTCCTTATGCTACATCCAATTATGCTGGCTTTCTGCCTAACAAACTCAGCGGGAAACAGAACAACATAGGGATCGTTAATGGGATAGAGAAGAAAAATGGTTCCTTGGGACATCAGGCAAAGGTCAGTGTACAGATGGCCACCAGCCCCAGCAATGGTAACATCCTGAATTCTGTGGCTATCCAGGCTCATCAGTACCTAGACGGCACCTGGTCCTTGTCGAGAACAAATGGCGTTACTCTGTATCCCTATCAAGTAAGTAGCGTTAGAAAGGACACCCCCCCCCAATAAGATCTCTAGAATACTTTGTGGATTTGAGTAATACATATTAAGAAGTTGTATCAACACAATCATATTATTGAACAAGCCGTAATTTACCTCATTTGTAAAAACAGGAAGTCAGCCCCCTCCTCCCCAATCTCTCATAACATACAGCCGTATTTCTACAGCCTTTATCTCTGATAACCATCCTGTGGTTCAGAAAATTAACACTGCAAATCATGCCAAAGGACCATGTGCTTCAACAGGCCTACTTGTCCTGAAAAAGCCAGAACAGGGTATTGCTTTATGGCTGGAAGGTTAATAAACATGGACTGTTGAGACTCATTAATAATAGTATAGAAGTCGAAAGTTCAGAGGCATTCTTCCGTATTAGAAATCCCGTTTGTAGCAGTAGTAATAATGAAGAGAAATCCTGGTTGTAATAATTATGGTGATGCAAATTGGAGGAACATGATTGTAGAAAAATTGGAGGAACATGATTGTAGAAAAAGGCTCGTGTAAATAATAATCAGAGTAGGGGTTTCCACGATGAATACCCTGGCATTTGCATGGTTGATAATGAAGTATAATCCTGCACGAGATACGTGGGCAATTTTATTGTGAGAAGATTCGTGAACTGCTGATGTCTTATTGGCGTTCAAAAAAAAGATGGGTCACACTGTTCAAAATATCTGCAGAATCCATTAATTAGTGTCTAGATATGTTTGTTATGTATCTTTTGGAGAGCATGGTATAATTATAGGATCTATTCTGTTGGGAAGGGAATGAAATTGCTGAAGCTATAAAGTAGATGTATTAATATAATGTAATAGTTAAACAGCCTCACCCTAAAGGTGTTCAGTGGTACAAAGTGCCAGGTAAATATGGATAGGTTTGCAGGCTTGCATGGTGGTATGCTTACCCCCTCCCCTCAGGCAGAACTCTTGACAGGAAGAAAGGTAACATCCCTGCCATAGAAAGCTGTAGTTGTGAAATTTCAGCATGCCATGAAGCTGTTAAAAGCATCTTAGGAACTAAGCTGCCCCCAAAGGTGTTGATCCTGTGCACATGTAATAATTTTTTGTTCACTTTTTCTCCGTTCAAATGGTAACAGTGTGTCTGGGTAACTTTCAAGTTCCATAGCGTAACACTGGGGAACCTTAACTATCCCCCTGGCCACAGACAACAACAGGAGCTTTCCCCCTAATGATAATTGCTGTGGTGGTAGGGATTTTTGTGGAGATCATGGCTGACCGTCCTAATTAACCCCCCTCTCAGTATTAGCTTCCCCCACAAAAAAGAATGCTAATGTGCATTTAACATAACATCACTAAGCCTAACCTGAGGCTTTTTTACCGTTGTTGTTGTTGTTGTTGTTGTTGTTGTTGTTGTTGTTACTGTTACTACTACTACTACTATTATGCCACCCTGCATCCAAAGATCACAGGGCAATTTACAGTATAAAACCACAAAATACATTTGCTATACAAAATCATGCTACAGGCTACATCTGAGAAATGCTGAGCTAACGGGACCCGGAATAAAAAATAATCTCATTGGATAAAGAGCATTGCAGTTCCAGGAGTGGGTTCATTGCCCTTTGCATCATCGTTTGTCAGGCTGATGCCCAGGAACAAGAGCTGTAGCCCTGGCTAGACTTAATGGCTCCCCGACGTGGGCATCTCCCCTTTGTAAATTAGCTTTCAGTTAGATAGTCTAGACAGCCTGCCAGAAATGGTTGACTGCTTTGAAGCCTGATCTTATTTTTCCTTCTGATTCTCTGCCTCTCAGATAAGAGGAAACCTTGGCATCATAATGGGATGCTGAACTTGGAGGCAGGCTTGCATATTGAGAAGGACACTTCTTGTCAGCAAGATGCAAAGGGTGTAGTTCAAGTTTATGGTGAATAGTTCCCAGCTGCCTATTTTTGAAGTGGCCCCTGTGGATGTGCCATTAGCAGCCGCTTCATCTGTATTAGTTAGCAGGTGATAAAATTCTGGTCCAGCCATTTGGCACCGTGTAGGACAGTATGTGTGAAGAGGAAAGGATTAGCTGGGTAAACCCAGCCAGATGGGTGGGGTAGAAATAATAAATTATTATTATTACATATTGCACAGCTGTCCCGCCATGGTCTGCAGTTGTTGGACTCTTGTTGTTGTTTAGTCGCTTAGTTGTGTCCGACTCTTCGTGACCCCATGGACCAGAGCACGCCAGGCACTTCTGTCTTCCACTGCCTCCCGCAGTTTGGCCAAACTCATGCTGGTAGCTTCGCGAACACTACCCAACCATCTCGTCCTCTGTCGTCCCCTTCTCCTTGTGCCCTCCATCTTTCCCAACATCAGGGTCTTTTCCAGGGAGTCTTCTCTTCTCATGAGGTGGCCAAAGTATTGGAGCCTCAGCTTCAGGATCTGTCCTTCCAAGTGAGCACTCAGGGCTGATTTCCTTAAGAATGGAGAGGTTTGATCTTCTTGCAGTCCATGGGACTCTCAAGAGTCTCCTCCAGCACCAAACCTTGATCATTAGCTGAAAGTTGTTAGACTACAGTTTCATTCACCTCTGACCCATTGGCCGTGCCAGCTGGGTCTGATGTTTTCTTAGTTAGAGTGTGTTGATGATAGCATCAGGTTGCAGGTTCAATCCCCATATGGGACAGCTGCATATACGGAGTTGGACAAGATAATCCTTAGGGTCCCTTCAAACTCTATAATTCTATGATAGTCAAAAAGTCTTGGGACACCATTTTGATTTCTCCTGCTCTACATGTCTATCAGCGTACTCACAGTCGGGACCCCTGCTTCATGTAGGGTCCTCAGTTATATAGAAGACAAATGTGATATGCAGGCACATCTATACACTTTCTAGTCGCACCTGTGACAAGGGTGTCACTATTTTTCAGCTTTAGTTATTTATCTGTAACTTGGAAATAATTGTAATCAAATATGATCAAGAAGACAAAGATGCTAAAAGAATTTGCAGTTTCAGGATGCAGTACATATAAATTAAAAACTTTATTCACTTTTATGTATTTGTCACTGAATTTACTGACAACCGTTCGTGCTAGAAAAACAAGGATCCTTTATATTGTCTCTTTAATATTTCTTTAATGAAGTACACATATTGTTGCTCTTTCTAACATACTTAAACGGTAACTCCCAGTTTTTAATGCACCGTTTCCAGGAAAACAAAGGCTTATTGAAGTCAGTGGAAAAAATCTCTTTACAGCCCTAGATCCCTGGAGTGTAAGGATGTGTTGCTAAACCCACACACCCAGTTCCCCCCTCCCCTGTTTCTTTTTGCAAACAAGTAGGAGGAACATCAGCAAAGGAATCATCAAATATACTCAGTGCATGCAGAAACTTCCAGGACTTGCTATGTCTTTGTGAAGCAAGGTAGATTTATCGTAACAGCCTACTGGGGCCATTGTTGTACTTCAAATACAGCTTGCAGAGGTAGGATTATAAAAAAGGAATAAAACAAAAACTGATGGCAGCTTCTTGCATGTATATTTAGGTACAGACACCCAAGCACAAAATACACATGTACTGTTGCATCAGTTGTGAAGGGCACATGTGGGTATTTGCAGCCCACAAGAAAGAGATGGACACTGGGTCTTGGCTCCAACATTTATTTGAGGACCAATGCACAATTGGTAATTCAACACTTAGCATGGCAGGGAAGTAACAAGATCCCCTGGGCTGGATTCCATTAACCCTCTGTGCTTGCAGAACCAGCACAAGGTTTTTGACTGGTGCAATGGGGCTCCCTCCTCTTCTCCTCTGTGCTCCCTGTGCCTCACCCCAAATAGTCTAGACAGGGAGGACAGGGAGGGTGGGGCAGGATGAGAGGGAAGGTCTTTCTATCTGGCAAGCAGAAATGCTTGCACTGAGGAATGATCAGAAGAGTGTGGCACTGAGTGGTTTTTGCCTTACCCCACAAGGGACTTGCTTGGTTTTGCTGCCCTTCAGACAGTCCACTCACATGCTCCTGCAGCCTATGGTGAAGATTGTGGTGAAGCGGAAATCCTCACAGTGGTTTACTCCCAGGGCTTCTAGGAGTGTAAACGGCATATGATTGTAAATCACTTTGTAACTTAAGATGACTGGGAGTTAAAAATAGTAATGTATAGCTACATTCTTCTGTTGATTGCCAGAATTTCATAAACCATTTCATCATCTTTCCCCCCTGGCTCTTTAGTGACTGCTGTTCTTCTTAAGAAATTGTTCATATTTATGAAGCAAGTAAGGAGTGTGTGTGTTGTGTCCCCACCCCCGGCAACCATTTATAGAGGCACTGACCAAAATATAGTTTTAAGTGGTTAGAGTTTAATTTTGTTTTTGTTTCTTGTAAATCATCTATTAAAATTAGCTATAATGGTTTAAATAACATCTGTTGTGAACCTGGACAGTCCGACCACCGTCACCCATGTGCTGGTAACCTCCAGGCTACTTCAGTGTGATGGTGCCCATGAGGTTCAGAAGCTGCAGCTGGCGCAAAATGCAGTAGCTTGACTGCACAGTGGGGCAGGAGATTGCTAACACATTGCCCCACTGTTGTAACAACTGCACTGGCTGCCAAATAGCTACCCGCGTAAGTTCAAGGTACTGGTTTTGGTATCTAAAATCCTGTACTGTGTGGGACCAGGACACCTGAAAGATAATCTTGCCCCCATATACTCAAATGTTTACTGTGTTCTGAAGGTGAGACCCTCTTGCAGGTGCCATCTTATCTGGTGGTGCATTCCACACAATGTAGGAATCAGGCTTTTAGGATGCCCTTTAGTATTAGATGGGTACTGTCTCTTGCTGTTTCAGCAACTACTGAAGACCTGCTTATTTCAACAAGTCCCTTAAGTTGATATCTTTCCCAGTTTGCATCTGTATTGGAATTGTTTTTCAGATGTTTTTCAGACATTTTCATTATTTTATCACTTGTTGCTTTACTGCCCTGGGCTCCTTTGAGAGGAAGTGAGGGATATTAATAAGTAAATAAATAAA